CGCGTCGGAAAAATTCTCATTTGGGTCCCGACCAATAGTGGACCAGCGTGCCCGGCGATGAAAAACCTACCGGTGGGAAAGGGTCGGCCGGCGTTCGGCTGTCGGGGTTCCAGATAATATGTCCGCTGTTTCTGACTGTTCCTTACGGAGCATCCGCGATCGAAATGCGCGATTTACGGCAAGGGTTAAATAACAAAAGGTAGACAGACGACTCTCTCACGCCCGTTTCTACCAATGTAGTTCAATTTCAATCCCGGTTCAATTTACTCCTCATCCCTTTCTGGTTCTAGGAATTGGAAAAAGATGAGGAGCAAGTTGAACCGAGATTAAAATTACTCTACATTGTAGAAACGAAGAGGGTCAGAGGGTCGAAGAAATGAAACGCACGGTTGCATCTCTGGATGCGCCATACCGGTAACTCGATTCGGAAGAAGGTTCTTCTTTTCGTCGAAAGTTCCCGGAAGAAAAGTTCCCCGTGGTTTGCAGGCTCCGCCCAGAGAGACGACGAGTGCTTGGGAGCGCGATGAAACGCGAGTGGCGTTCGATGTCGGCGATCGAGGTGATAAAGGAGAAATTAAATGTGGGAATTTATTGGCAGCTGATCGAGATTAGCGGAACAAGTCCGCGCAAAATGCTGTTACAAGCTGCAAATGAATTTTACGTCTCAATTAACGCGATTATTCTTTTCTCTATAAATTCACGCGGGTTGTTTACAATAGAAACTGAGGAACGGATTGACCAACATTCTTCTCAATGCGACTGCCAGGGCCCCACCCCGCGGAATGTACGGTGGAACGCATTCGGATTAATTCAGGAACTACCGATTAACGCTGATAGTGCGAACTTTAAATCGCTTGTCAAAGTGAACTGAGAGATTCGACGCATTTCTATTTCAAAATATAGATTAACTCTTTCCGTTTCTCACTTCTAGAGCGGCACACCCAAAGGAAGTCCTTTTACTTTGCTAAGCTGTAATTTTTTTTTTATTAATAAAGATACACTATAAAGACATTTAATTGATACTGTTAAAAAAAAAATTATTACACTGAGAAAAAAACGTTCATTTGACTAAATTAATTTAATTCGTTTTTACTTTTTTTTTTTTGTCGATGAACAATATTTATAAGTCAAACTTATTATATTTGATTTAAATATTAAAATAGGAACGTGAAAAAAAGGTAACGAATGAATGAGGAATAACTGTTTGTAATGAAATCCCCTTCTTGACTTAGTAAATGCTGAGGAGGGTAAATTCTATTCTATATTTTGCTTGAATACATATTATACATTTTTCAACGAAGTAAATAATTAAATTAAATAGTTAAATTAAATTAATTTAAAGAAATAAATAATTGTTCCTCAGTGTACGATATGATCATTTTTATGCGATATTTTTCATAATAAATGAGATATGATGAGATAAAACGGTATAGAGTGGCAATGAAAGATTAATTTATATATATATATATATAAATCTCAGTTTAACTTACTTTATTTTTTTCAAATTCTTATGTTCACTTCCACGAATATAATTTAATTTTAATCCCGGTTTAATTTTTTTCTAATTTTTGGAACTAGAAAAGGATAGAAAGTAAATTAAATGGAGACTAAACTTAATCTAAATATTGGTAGAAATGGACATTAGAATTAGAAGAAAATGAAAAGTTGGACCGAAATTAAAATTAATCTACATTGATAAAAAAATGAATATAAGAGGATTCGGAAGAAAAGTGAAGTAGCAATAAAAAAATCGGCTAATATTAGCAGTGTGATCGTCTACGATCTAGAGAGTTAGTCTAAGTACAAGACTTATACTCTTCAAATTTCTTCAAGTTTCAAATAGGCTTCAGACGAACAATGTTCTAACGTTAACAAGACGAGCTTGAATAGTTACTCTCTACCGTAATATTTTTCTCCAATCTCTTAAAATTGCCAAGATTAAAGACTGCACCTTTCCAAGTGTCTAGGAATAAACACATCCATTCTCTCTTCGCTTCGCTGCTTTCAAATGGCTTTGAGAATATAATACAGAGAGTGTGCGATTAATTCGAATTAACGTAATCCAGGGAAATCGAGGCTCGTAAGGGTCGAATTAACGAAATCGGTAACTTAAACCGCCGGCTTAACAGGATTTAAGACAGAATCCCGAATCTCCGAAACTACCTCGCGTTCTACCCTGCGATCCCGTGTACCTGGCCACCCGGCAATTTTACCAATCACTTGTGAATTTCGATTCAGATACATTTCCTGATTTCCATGCGATCGGCGCCGCGACGCCACGCGTGGCGTCGCGTGAGCGCGTCGTCGATCTTCCGACAGGCTATACTGGCTATATAGGCTTCGTAGACAGAATTTCCTTTACCTCGGCTCGCGTCCACGATCCTCCGGGACGTTCCGTTTCGACAGTGGGACATGTCGCTCCAAATCCGCAGAGGAAATCCGCCACGGACAGTCCGGTGGGCAGTTGCAGTTGCAGTTGCAGGCCAAGAGAAGAGAGCGCGTCGACACATAACGTATATAAGTACATATATATATATATATATATACATACATATATATATATATTTGATCGGGAACCGTCGGTTCCGCTCGTACCGTCGTCAGGTCGCCGCTCTCCGAGAGAGATCACTGCCCTCACGCACACCCGACGAGGCTTTCTCTCGTTCCTCCGTGTCAGACCGCCGGGGGCCAGTAACGTATCGCGAAACGACCGAACCACTAACCGATTCGCGCGCTTGACAACGGCGACGACGGCGACGACGAGACGGCACACGTAATCAGTCCGCCGGTCGAAGATGACAGGCCGTGCGCGCGATTTCCGGTCTACCGCGAGTCTTGCGCTCGGCAACAGAGAGAGAGAGAGCGAGAGAGAGAGAGACGGAGAGAGGGAGGGAGGGAGAGTTCGGAGCAATGGACGAGATCGCGGAGCGGGTTGAACGGAGACGTCGGGCGAAGAACGAGGGAGAAGAAAGAGAAAGACGACGTGGAGGAGTAGGAGGAAGGGAAAGGGGAGAGGGAGAGAGAGAGAGAGAGAGGAGAGAAACGCGCGCGACGCAGCGTCCAGGAAAAGTAGTCGCGCACAGCGACGGCCTCCTCTCGTTGGTCCGACGGATCCTTTTTTTTTTTTTTCGCGGACCCCCGGCGTTCCTTCGCGTTGTCACTCGGGATTTCCGGCGGTGCGTAACACGCGAGTCGCACGGAATTGCCGGACACACGACGGCGCGGGGTCGGGGACCCGCCGTTGATTCGGACGCGACGACGTTTCTTCCGCGGGTGGTCATCGCGCCGGTGAGACAACTGGACAACGTCGCGCGGAGTGGACGATGCTCGACGTGAATATTGTGGCGCGAGATGCGAAACCGAGAAACGCACGAAAGGACGGCAACGTCGGCGGTGGTGGCGGCGGCGGCACGTCGACTCCGGCCGACTCCGACCGACTCGGCTTCGACGGCCGTCCGACTCTCCTGTCTCCTCCCGTCTCCCGTTCCGTATACCCATTCCCCAACACGATTCGCACGTGTGTACGTATAATGTACGTGCACGCGCGCGCGCGCGCACGCGCGCACGCGTGCGTGCCGTCGCGAATTCGCCGGCAAGCCGATTCGCGACTCGCCCGCGTTGCTCTCCTCGATTGGAGCAAGAGGGTAAAAATAAGAGAGAAGGAGAGGAATAGAACGAAGGGAACGTGAAACGGAAGTTGTATTGGAACTGGATGTAGTCCCCTTCGTGTATATGTACGTATATACATGCGTACATGTGCATGTGCATAGGCTTCTATTCGCGTTGATTCGCATTTCGCGTGCAGTCTGAAATCCGTAAGGGGTATATGCATGACGCGCGCTTCGGACGAGGGATTGGTTGCCATCTGTACGATCACGCGGGAACCTAGTTCCGTGAATCGATCGAACCAGATCGAACAGCGACGACCGCGTATTCGAATTCTTCAATGAAATTTTTCAATTTTTTTTAATTTATATAATTTTTCAAAACTTTATATTAATTCCCGAATTTCTCAATAATTTTAATTTTTTAAAAGTTTTCATATACTCAGAATTTTTAAAAAAATTTCTCAATAATTTTCTAACTTTTTAGAAAGTTTACCAGAATTTTTTTCCAGAATTTTTCATGAATCCTGAAATATAAAACTGTATATAATCCACGGTATTAGAAATCGCTCCGATCCAGCAAACGCCAAGTTATACTAACTTATGTGTTGGTTAATTTTCCACATAACAATAAAAAATCTAACATAATACAATTATATATTAGTTATATTGAATGGAAAATTACAACCAACAAATACGTTACTTGAAGCGTATTTTCGTTATCCAATCAGAAGCGACAGGAAATCAAAAGAAGATAGCCTTAGTCGCAATTGTTTCTAGTTGCATAACGAAAAAACGCCCTTGGTGTTTATCAGAGAAATTTCGACCAACGAAATAATTAACAAATAACATTTAAACAATTCGATCACATGACCAATGCGATTGGCTAATTCTTTCACCATCTGAGAATAGAGATTTCAAACTGATTTCTAGTATCGTGAATACAATTTCTTATTCTGTAATTTCTAATACCATATAAAATATAAAAAAAAGTTTAAGGTATCTTTCAGAAATTATAAAATTAAAAATCAGAAAATTTAAAAATTTATCACATGTATGACAAATTTTAAGAAAAGTAGACTTTCTCAGTATTTCGGAAGCGTTATAATTTGTATAAAAATTCTGAGAAAATTTGCACTAAACGTAGCATAATACAAAATTGGGAAGGGAAGGTTTTTAAATTTTCTCTTGATGATATTTTTACGCATTCGCATTTTGGATAAGAAAAGAAAACCTTTTTTCTGTAAAGTTTACACGATATTTCACCTAATTGTATTTTCTTTATCTATTTTTATTAGAATATAATATATATGTATAATAATATATATTATATTTGTGTCAATATCGAATATATTATTTTATTATTTTTCTCTTTCCATAAATTATAATAAATAACTCTTGACTGTGATTATATATATTAAACAAAATATTTTACAAAAGTAAATAGCTGTATGTCGCCATGTGTTCAATGAAGAGTGAGAAAAAGAGACAGAAGATGTGTCACTACTTGTCTATTCAAAAGTAACTAGACATCTGAAGCATTGCGTGTATTGTGTGTGTGTGTGTGTGTGTGTGTGTGTGTGTCTATGTGTGATCTTTGGCGACCCTCGTACCCTCGTACCTTCGTTTCTCTTTTAGATAGAAACATTCCCCACATGCGGTTAAAGTAACGAATAAATACAGTATCGTCTTCCTATCTCAAACACGATCTCAATGTATAAATTAGGACTTGCAAAAAATATTACGTAAAAAAATAATTTCCATATAGATCAAACATGATCGCGGAAATACTTTTCCACGTCAAAAAGCACGTGTATATATCATAATTACGTTGAATTATCAATTATATAGCGATTTACGTATGCTTTTTTTTTTATGAAAAGATGTTACACGTATGCGACACTACGTCGAGAAACGTATTGCGGGAAGAGACACGATTATCGCCAATAAGGTCACGTTGGTCTTGTCCGAGAAGAGACGATGTCCCTCCGTTTCTTTCAGTGTTTAGTCGCTTTTCAATACGTCAGAAGACAGTTTTACTAGGCTGAGCTGAGGTATCGAGAGAGGCAAGATGGTTGTTTTACTCTCTAAATATGGCGTAAGGTTACAAATGAGAACTGTGAGGCTGTTGTTCGTAAAACAGTACGTAGGCTTCACTGGAAACGACCGATCGTGATGACACGACGGACACTCGGCTGTCGTTATACTCATGCCATTCCCCCGAGTACGGGTGTTTGCAGTACGCGGTGTAGTGACCGGAGTATGTGGTGCCAGAATGATTCGCGACCCCGTACAGATTGTACGTGCAGCCCGGAACTCTCGGGGCGGCAAAGGCACTGAGATCCAAACCCGTCAGGGGAAAGTCCACCATCACGTTCAGCTTGCCGCGAAAGCGCTCCATCGGAGAGAAACGTTTCAAATCTAATAAATAGTATTAAGAAAAATACTTTTTCCTACAATTCGAACTATATCTACCTATAATAATAATAATAATAATAATAATAATAATAATAATAATAATGTATCAAACAAATACTAATAATCCATTCCAAACAGTTTCATAATACGTTTCCCAGATGAATAAATATTCATCAAAATGATGAAAAAAAGGATACGAATAACCAAAATTTTCGGGAATTTCTGTATGCTGAAGCTCTTGGTGCACTTTCTTCTCATTTGACATTTGGAACATGTTGGTTTCTCGTCGCCATCTAATACCTCCTCTCTTGTGAAATGCTCCAAGCATTGACTCAGCTTTACCGTACCGCTTCTGGCTGGTATCGGCAAGCTTAAGTCCCAGAATGGATCAAGAGTGACTGATACGTGATCGCAGGAAGTGCAACGTAAAGATGAACGTAACTGTCCGACGAAAACGTCGACTATCGTGCTATCTTCGCTGCGTAGATATCGTTTCCAACTCTCCACCGCTTTCTGCATATCCCTATATAAGGTAATAATGTTAAGTATTACGTACACATTGAAAACTAAACACGCAAATAATTTTCTTACGTGCAACTATCAGGTATGTCTCCGTGTATGGGCGGTAGCTTTGTAGTGACTCTGTTGACATCTTCGTGCAAACCCTCCAGCAAGTATCTGAGAAACTCTTGAGCGTCTTGTTGACTGTAGCCCATGAAACGTGGTGCGAATCTCTGTATTTGAGACTTAAGCGCGGTCGTGTTCACTACGTGATCACCGCCCACTTCCCACAATTCGTGAATCACTTGACTGAACGCTTTGATCAAAGCACCTTTCATGCTGGACGTTGTCGTATTTATGTCGGTCAGATATTGTTCGTTTAGTAGATACTCTAACAGAGGCCTTGTGTTGCTCAAGCATTGAATCACGCTGTTCATGAAACACTAAAACAGTCATGCACACATTAATATAACAATTTACGAGAAAAACGACGACTGTTTCGTGATGCCATAAAAATGTACTCACTGTATTTCCAATATTCCGTAAGCCATTTAGACCACATCGTTCATCACGAAGAGCTTGCAGACGGCTACGTGCCGACCTGTTAGTCGGGCTTCCTTCCTGAAAGACATTGAGCAAATTAATTTTCTATACAAATATTAGTTATTATTAATTAGATGATATTGCATAGAGTCGTTGCTAATATTGTTGTCTTGAATCGTCAGTGTCCGAGCATTCATTCATTCATTCCGATCGGCGAAAATATCGCAAATCGCTCGATAAAAAAAGACTTAAGCATCTCGCGATAGCAAACAACTTACACAGCGTTACACAAAAACTGATGACGCGTTAGATTTAATAACATTTACTTGTTAGGCACACGTGTGAATATATATGTAGACGCTTCCGTCAGGCGGCGTTTATTAAAAGACACACATCCACATAGGACAAATGGAAAATGCTGTAGTGCTTATATTACGATTTTGCTAAAATGTCTAAAAATTTAGCTAGACACAGATCTAAAAATAATTTTGTTACATCATAAACAGCGCATTTAGATTCCCATCCGAATGCTCCATGTTATTCTTATTTGACACTCTGTGAACAAAAATAAAATAATATCAGGGTGGCACTCGAGTAAGAATCTGAACGCAATATAATTATGTAGGATGTTCAAGTTGGTTGCTAAAACATAAAAACTTTTTGCAGCAAAACTTTTTTTACCAAAATAATTTTCAAATCTGTATTTAGTTGAATTTTTAAACGCTTCAACAAAATTATTTTTTTTGTGTGTGTAGGCAACTACATTGAATTCACAAAGACAAAATTGATCGTGATCGACAATCAACAATTTGCCGAGAAGTCGCAATCACGTAAATACTCACCTGTGAATGCACAAACGAAGATCGGATCTCATGTGGCACGGTGGGAGTAATTATCGTGGAATTATTAATGCGTATCGAACTGATTCTCGAAGAGACACGTTTGGAAGACAACAAAGGTGTCGCGATACCGAGAAAGAAGGCGTAAGTGAGCACGAAGGCTGTTACTGTCCACAAACACCACAAGGCCCATCCTATCGCTTGAGCGTGAGCCAGTTTACACGCAGTGACTTCTATCTCGAAGGAATTCACGAACGATACGACGCCGGATTAAAACTTCTTTGTGCGTTATGCACAATCTGTCGCTCGTCCGAGCGAAAAATACATCATTTATCTATACGTCACGCTTGTTACTGTACGTGTCAATAAACGCTTTAACGGCCGGATATCTCGCGATATCATTTTCGGACGGCAAATGTATTCTCAGGAACGTGTCATTTATCATTGGGAGATGACGCGAGAACTTGGAATTTCGATTCCTTCCTCCAAAGTGCAGAGATGAACTCGGGTGACTTGCCAACTCCATCCTGTTAGAGATCATTCGAGTAGATACAATATGCAAGAGGCGTGAAGACTACAATCGCGATTATTCGTCCGAATCGATGCATTTCTGACGGAGAATTGTCGCGTGAAGAAACATGTAAACTCGGTCGGCTACCGTAAATTACCACGACATACTGTGAATGCGAATTCGCTGACAACGTGCCTCTATCTTACGGAGAGTTCGAGAAGGAGAGAGAAAGAGCTCTGAGCTATTAATAAAACACCAGTAACTTCGAAGAGGCTCTAGTTGGAGACAGCGAGAGGGCAAAGAGATTTCGCAACAAGACCGGGTGGGGAAGTAAACGAATCATATGGCAACGGCACAATTTCTCTCTCCTAACGTATGTTCAGGCATGATTGAATCTGTGCATTAATAAACGGACAAATTTTTGTCATAAAATCTCTCCTTTAGAAGATTACTCTCCTCTCATAATCGAACGAGCATACAATGAATCGGACTTGCAAAACTTACATGCTTCTTGTAAGGATTTTTTTTCATACGATTCTGATATCGGTTGCGTCTTACAAAGAAAGCAACTTTACAACTGTTGTGAAGATTCTTTAATATGATTTTTACATTTAGAAAAAAAAAAGAACAAATTAAAAGGCGACTGACGATGTAAATGGCATAAGCATGTAAATTTAACCTTCAATCACACTTCAATTTTTTTTTATTTGTTTTAAATATTAAAGGTCCTTTACAAATTTATTTTTATTTCATATTTAGAAATGAGGAACTAAGGACAAAAACCAATCATATTAAAGATATTTCAACAGCTGCTTTTCTGAGGAACGCAGTCACTGTAACTGCAAATATATAAACTCACACGTATAATTATATATATGCGGTATACATATTTCATATAGAAGAACATGCGTCGTTGAATCTATACTTATATTCGACAGTGATTCGATTGTATTTTGATCCACGCAACATACGTTATACTCACGTCTTTGGTACTACCGTCGAAAGATTCGTGCTTGTCGATTTAACCCATAACAGGAACACATACTTTTTGTGATACTAAAGAAACATAGTATCCTTGAGATCTACTAAGGTTTCTTATGCTCAATCTTTTTCTCGTTAAGAATTACAATATTTAAATTTACATAAATATATATATATATATATATTCATACAGTAAGATCATTCCAGCAACATTGCAACGTTGCAATAACGTTGCAAACTTCTGCGCTGTATAGTATAATAATTAGCTTACATGAATAGAATAAAGTAAGACGTGAAACACATAAAATTATTCCAAATAATTACACTATTTAACAATTAGAAAAATGTCCCAGGATCACGAGAAGCCATGTGTTCCATCTGTTACGGGTTAACAAACCTTTTAAAAACATAGTCACGGCACAGCATTGACTATGAACAATTACAAAGATGAATGACTGGAGAAAGAAAAATCGTAGGCCCATTTCTACCAATAGATTAACTTTAATCTCGGTTAAATTTACTTTTTCTAATTCTTAATAGTAGAATAAAAAAATAAAAATAAATCGATAAATTAAAGTCAATCTACATTGATAAAAATCGACAGTGGACGTAAGGATCGTAAAGACATTTGTTAATAATCGATTAATAAACATCAAGGATTAAACGTAGTCTATGCTGCTCCGCGCTAGAGCGTATTACTTCCTTTACAAGCGTACTCACGTATTGCTCGTTGACTCCGCGATAGATACTCTGGTGTGCCGTGGATGGATTCGTCGGTGACGATGTCAGACTGTTGCCTGCAGCACACGAAAAGAGACCGGGTTGATCTGTTCTCCTCGACGTCGAAGGGATGGACGGGTCGTCGCCGTGTGCGACGGACGGTCTACCGGCTATGTTGTTGATCGTTCCTCCGAAATCGTTTTCGTCTGTGCTATTGAATGCGCTATTCTCTTCCTCGCCATCCTCAGGAATATCGCTGACGCGATCGCGTTGCAGAAACACGATCGACGGCACATCGTCGATGCCGCGCGTTACCTCGTCGTTCGTTGTAACCTCGTTCTCCTCCTCCCTTCCTGTTACCTTGTCCTGAGCGTTGTTATTGATCAGCAGCTCGGTGTTATGAGGATTAGTAGCGAGGTTAGTTAACAGGTCAAGGCTACCAACACCGATCAAACCACCAGCGGCGGCGGCGGCAGCGGGTGAGAGAACGTTACGCTTAGCGGGCGAGACCTTGTTCGGTCGGTGGCGACGCTGCTGGTGGAAGCGGTGGTGGCAATTGTTGAGATTATCGTCGTCATTCGCGTCGTCGCCGTCCTCGTCCTCGTTTCCGTCGTCGTCCCCGTCCACGTCGTTACCGTCGTCATGCTCGTTGTCGTTGTTGTTAACGCCGTATCCGCACGCGATATCCTCGCCGTTGCCGTCGCGCCCCGTGTTGCCGGCGTTGCCGTTGTTATTGTGATGGTCGTCCTTGGTACCGTCGTTTCCGTCGTCGTCGTCGTCGTCATTTGGTTTACGGGTAACGTGATCGTCGATGGTTGTTACCTCGGCGAGAGAAACAGCGCCATCCGTACGTGAATGCCCGACGGTGGCGAGCACCGTGCTGTTGGTAGACGGTCTTCTCTTGCTGGACTTGGACCATAGACCGGCCGCTCCGGTAGCCACGGACGATGAGGATGACGACGAGGAGAGCAAGGACTCCAGACGGAGATCCTTGTGCTCGACCTCGCGCTCGTCCCCACCGAACAATTCGCTCAAGGCCGATGACGGCGAACGGTGCTTCCAGTGATGCGCGCTGCCGCCGCTTGTTTGCTGTTGTTGACGTTGAATACTAGGCACATAGCCGGCTGGCGAGTACCTGCTGATGATGTCGGCGGCCGCGGCGGCCGCGTCGACGCTGCCGCGTTCTCTCGAAGACGTGGACGAGTTGACCGAGGCGCTTGGCGTAGTCGAGATGTATCTGCCACTACCGCTGCTGCTGCTGCTGGTGCCGTTGACGATCGTTGTTGCTAATGCGGCGCCGCTGCTGCCGCCCGTTTCGCTGTACGTCGACGACGAGACTGACCTGCAAAATTTGCCCGACATAAGAATATTGCGGTCATCGCGTTTCGCCGGACCGGGCCTTTGGCCAAGGTCCTTTGCTCCCCTACCTCGCGAGATCGCGTTATGCAACGCGCGCGAGTATAGACGCCGTTCTTCGGCGGGACTCGCGCGCGTGCATGCTACTGAGATATGCGCGTTTCTACCGCCAGCAACCAGGCGCAACTACTCCTACTTCGAGGTTTGGAGGTCACTAAATCAGATTCGCGACACCGTTCGCGAAGGCGCGACAGCCTCATACCACGCCGACACGCTCGTACTAGATATTTAAATATATTCTCTCGAGGAATAACGCAGGTTGAAGATACAGGGTGGAGTGAGATCTCTGGGACCTAAAGAGAGAAAATCTGGTACTACAGAGGTATCCGAAACGCCGCGAACGCCGCGTGCAGATACACAGGCTGGATAATCTCGTGAGGTCAAGGTCCACGACTACATTCCGTAGGGCGAGCGTGCTTATTTAAAATCAATAAATGCGGCTACGTGCTCTCTCGACGTAACACAGCCGCGGATTTCAATGGTGCTTTATACCGTCTAGGTTTCCTTTGCGTTACCTCGACGATGAGAGCAAAGGACGCTTTGATTAACGACACCGAGATAGGGACGAAGCTATCTGACCCGGAATAACAGGTAGCGGATCTAGCGCGACCAGTTTATGCTGACCTCGACCTTTAACATAGGACTAATGCCAGTCACATACGAATGGGGGATGTACATATTGTGTCTTTGTAATTGAGTTATAGTGACGTGAACACAAAGGTAAGGCAAGGTAAGTAACGCGCGAGACTTTCAGTTCAGACGTAGATATTCGACATCAGGTGCGACATCATGAGAAGGAAACAGATAGAAAATATTATCATATATTAAAGGAGTAAAAATAAAATAATTTTTTCACTTTATAAAATTATTTGTAGGAAATTATCTCAAAGATGCGGGCGATTTGATATTGATTAATATTGGGCGCTTTCCAGCAAGAGACACACAGTTAATACAATGTGACACAATGAATCATATTTCATCTTGTTGTTTGCCAATGTTAAAAACGGAATAAATGATTCACTGTTTTACACTGTATCATCTGTGTCTCTTGCTGGAGTATGCTCATTATATTTGTATGTCTACGCAAACGCTTTTGCTGGAGTCTCTAAAAATTTAACTGGATATATATACAGATCTATTTTTGTTGAGTCATCAAAACAATTATATAAGATGGTTAAGCATAATAACGCAGATAAAAATTTTGAACTTTCTATCAACAAGTGTTCTACATAATTATTTCGATGGCCCAATAAAATTCTTATCTTTAGATATTTAGTTAAATTTTTAGGTACTGTAAAATGAGATAATTTTGGCCCAGTTGGGATAATAACTTTGACCTGAATTTAAAAATATGTAGATAGCGTGTCAGGATATAAAAACGTTTTAAAACTTTTTGAAAATACTTTTAAGTCTTATTTCTCGATTTTGATATGCGTGCTGTCTAAGCATTATCAAAATATGGATCAAAGTTACCCTGATTTTGTGAGCCAGTTACCCCATTTTATAGTATTTCAACGAAATTATTTTTTCCGTGTAAACACTTCAATTTTCGCACTCTGTGCGTGGGACAATTGTGTTTCGCTATCTTCCTAAAATCTACATCCTACATCGTGGATCGCTCACCTTGCGGGTGAGCAGGTGGATCGACTGTGATACTCCGATGAGTAGTTCCTGCGGACGCTCGTGCCGGTAGAAGCCGACGAGTAGAAGCTGCGGGTTGGATCGAACATATAAACACCTTGTCAAATTCTAACATTTCGGGAGCGCGTTGACTCTGTACATTTGTCTTTTGACAATACTATCGAAAACTTGACCTTCCTATACTTCAATTCTGACTGCATCGTTTCAGATCTAGTCAATCGTAAAATCCATCAACCGAGAAAAAAATTGCGACAGCGCGCAATGTTACTTCTTGCGTATTTAATTGAAGACTTTAATCATCAGATTTCATATAGATCGAGATAGGAAGGAAAAAACATCGTTTAACGTGATTACAAGACACGCTCCTCGACTCGGCGGAACCTGCCGTTCAACCGTGTCTAGTTTCTCCACGCGTTGTTAACTCGCGCGATAAATATTACATCGGTATTAAACGAGATATTCTCTTTTCAATCAGCATAAAAAATGTGACGGGACATGTTCAGTTGTACATAAAAGAAACAAGAGTTAAATCATATTGTGATTCAAATTAAAGTGTGAATTATTTAATTTCATAATCATCATATTTGACTCTGTATAAAGATTATGTTATATGTTGCTTTAAGAAAAATTTACACGTTCAATGTCCATTTCCAAATTACATTAATTATTTCAATCTCCATTTACTGTACTTTTTGTGATTTTCTAATTCTTAGAATTAGAAGAGGATAAAAAGTAAGTTAAACCAAGTGAAAGTTAATCCACTCCACATTGATAGAAACCAATGTAGATTAACTCTTTAATCTCTTTTTAATGTTTATCTTTTTACAATTTTCAGAAATAGAAGAAAATAAAAAGTTAATCCACGATTAAAGTTAATTTACGTTAATAGAAAGTAGCAACCTATGTAGATCAATTTTAATCTCTGTTACTCTTCACCTTTTTATAATTTTTAAAATTAGAAGAAGATAAAAAGTAAATTAATCCAAAATAAAAGTTAATTTACATTGATGAAAACCAACGTAGATTAACTCCACTTATAAAGGATAAAGAGTAAAACTGGATTAAAATTTACTCTTTGTCCTTTATAATTTTTAGAATTGGAAAAAGATAAAAATCAAAATTAATTTACATTAATAAAAATGAACATACATAAACCGCGATACACAAGGGCGATCGCTGATGCAAGGATTCACTCTCGAGGATTCACTAAGGAATACTGACGAGATATACTAACCTTCCTGGCGCGCAATAGGACCTCCTGTACTCCGAAGAGATAAAGTTTGAGCGCAAGCCCGAGCTCGAGGACGATGTGTAGAAGCTGGTGGGTCGGTCCAGGATCGAGGATGAGCCGGTGGAACGGTAGCTGCTGTACTTGGACGTGGAGCTACCGAGCGCAGAGGTGGTGGTGCCACCGCCGCTGGTGCCACTCGAGTACCTTCGGCTGGGCGAGTGCGGTGCCATTGGACTGGTACTGTATGAGACCGCTACGGCGCCCGCCTGCCCGCCGCGATGATACGACATTGTGCACTGCGGCTCGCCGATCTCCTTGAGCTTCTCCGTCGAATGCCTGAAATTCATTTTACTGCACTATTCTCACGCGCACTCTAAAAAAAAATAAATACGAAAGAAAATGAATATGCGTACAAGAGGAAAGGAGACAAGAGTTTTATTAGCAACGTTAACTAAGTCTTTGCGACTTCGAGAGGGACCTTTCGTGCGGAACTCGTTCCTGGTTCCTCAAGGGGTTCCAGGTCTCGCGGAACGGAACCGGAAACCGCGATCTTCCGATTGCGACGCGCAAAGATCCTTTCTCGAAACTTTCAACAAATGAAACAGAGATACACTGAGAGAAAAGTTTTTAGTATCGGCGATTATAAGTACACGTTGCCATTAATTATGATTATTATTATTAATAACAATTATTAATAACAATTAATTAGTAATAATATATATTATATTTCTTGAAAAAATACATATAGTTATATATATTATCATTACCATTGTAGCAATAATAACCATAATTATGGTAACATAATCATAAAAACTTTTCTCTAATAATTGTGTACTTGATTATAATTGCGTAGTATAATTAGAACCTGTTTATTACTGCTATGAGTAATCATCATTATGTTTATAGTTTTACCAAAAATATATAATAGGTGTCTAAAAAGACTATAAATGATAATTATATTGTAACTATTTAGTGCCACGAGGTACTTATATTTAATTAAACATATTTATTTTTGATACTTTCCAACAAGAGACGGTGTAACACAGTAATTATTTCATCTCTGTTTAACATTGGCAAACCACAAAAATGTTATGATTCACTGTGATATACTGTGTCATCTGTGTCTCGTGTTGAAAAGTCATTCTCTAATCGATATAAAGTAAGAAATAATTTACTTGAAATTTTTCTCGCTTTTACTACAAAGATTTCTTGACGCTGATCAAATGTATGTGTATTCGTAGTTGGAGAATCGCGGACATCCGCGGACGTCGCACTCGAGAGATCTACCACAGGAAGTTGGATCGACGACTTTTTGTCGGTAAATCCAACTCGAGAAACGGAGTACATCCGACGCCTCTCGCGAGAATCACTCGAACTTGAATCTGATAACTGTTGGAATCTGCGTGCCCGTATCGCAGGTCAGAAGACTCATTATCAATCGGTACACATATAATACGTGCGTTAAAGTAACAATTTCAACGAGTGCCATTATCGATAATTGCCTCGCGCGGCGATACAACGCGGTCGACCTTCGTAACGCGATTGAAAATCGTGCAAGTCCGCGAAATGTAAAATGTGCAAAACAAGCAAGTATCGTTCTCGGTGCAACGCGGCGAGCTTAATTCGCGCTTTACCTCTGACCTCGTCCCTCGCTCAGATATATCGCGTCACCTTGCCCTCGTTTTCTACGGAACTTCTCCGAAGACTATATCCAGCAAAAAGATTACAGAGACGGTCCATTCGAGAACAAAATCATATCACATTGTCGAACGATACGCTCAGTATCAGCTGACGAGAGATAAGTCAACATAAAAGACGTAAATCACTCAGGGAAAAAATAGTCTTGCTGAAGAATTTAAAATTTTATTAGCTACTACACAACAAGAATAGCTTTAACGAATTGCTCAAGGATCTAAAAATGTTTCTTAGCTAGATACAAATCTGAAAATGATTTCAGTAGACTGTCAAAATAATTATGTAGAACGCTCAAATGGTGACTAGAATGTTAAAACTTTTTGCAGTTACCATGCTTGAGATTTCTACAAAATTATTTTCAAATTTGTAGATATAAATTTTTAGATATTTCAACAAAATCAATTCAGTGTCTCAGTATATGAAAAGATCGGTTTTATTAAAGTATCTAAAAATGTAATTAGATACAGATTTTAACATAATCTTGTTGGAATAATTGTGTAGAAAATTCAAATATGATGAACACCGCTACAATAATTGTTTTGGTGGTAAAAACAAAAATATTTTCAGATTTATATTTGCTAAAATTTTTAGGTGTTTCAGTACAGAAAGCTTTTCTTTACGTGTAGCTAAAGATCTGAAAATATATTTTTGTTTGGACCATCAAAATAATTACGTAGGACGCTCAAACCGATTGTTATAGAATATTAAAACTTTTTGCAAGCATTTGTTATCAAAGTTTAAGCATATATAATTATTTTGATGGTTGAATAAAATTATTTTCAGATCTGTATCTAGACAAATTTTTTAATATCAATACCTTTAGCAAACCTTTAGCCTTTTCGTGTTTCTTTATGAAATAATATTTGTGCTTCGCCGCGGTTCATCGATTATCACGTATATGTGAGTAATTTTCGTAATGGAGATGAGGAAACGGAAGTGACGGATGTGTTAACGGCGCTGCCAAACGACGGAGTCGATAGGACGCGGATCTGACGCCCGGGATGATTTTTTTTCCTTGCGATCTGGCAGCCGTCCCGCTTTTCCGCCGGACCGGAGTCAGAATGCGCAGTTAGAACGCCGGAATATCCAATATAAACCGTGTCGTTTCGGATTTCGTTACACGAAGCGCCAACGCGTGCCCGCTCTGTGACCAGAAGCGGTGAGTCGCGACACGTGTAGATTGACGTGGGATATACTCGTGCAGGATGGTCACCAATTACCTGTCAAGAAAGAAATCCAGAACTGAGATGAAGAAAAAATATGGGTTGGAAAAAAGATATGATGGATACTGCAGACACGCGGAAAGAATGGTTTTATTGAAGTGCCTAAGAGTTTAGTTTGATACAGATCTGACAATAATTATAGGATTTGCTGCAATAGGCTAACTCATATTTTATAAGAACGAAGTAAATGGATTCTGAAAGTAATGGAAAATAATACAATTGATCGTGCATCTATTCGTACACAGTAACAAGTTTTGTATTTATGTTAAAACCAAAAGTGCTTGTTGAAATTTTGTGTTAAATTTCTGACATATCCGAGCGTTAATTTAATATAAAGTGATTATGTCATTTGTGAATATTTTGTGTTAAAATAATATTCAACATTTCTTAGCTAAAGTAACACAATTTATGAGTAAGTAAATAAGTAATATAAAAATGATATACTTTAAAACGAAAATTCTAAGGTAAATGGATAAAACACGTGTTAATGTAACTATTACATTTTTTTTGTGTTAATTCTTTTGCATAATATTTATCTTATCTTCTAACATATTCGTCTTGTGTAAAATTCACACAAAAATTTGAGTGCAATCACTTGAAACACGTAAAATGTATTTTTACCAGAAAGTTTCCAACTATGTATTTTTTTCCATCATTTTCACTTTAGAGTTCATTTACTTCGATTATGCAAAACGCAAATTAACCCACTATTACAACAAGTCCTTCAATTATATTGGATCGTTAAAATAATTATGTAGGATACCAAGTACGACGATAATGCTACAGAAAATTTTAACATTTTAACAATCAATTTAAGCGTTCCAATTATTTTAATTATTTTTATGATTCAACATAATTCTTTTCAGATTTAGCGGAATTTTTAGATATATTAGATTTTAGTGTTGTTTTTTTTTTTTTTTGTCAAGATACAACTGTCATTTAATATGTTAACAGGTGATAAACAGCCGGGCCTCGTAAGATTAATGTCCTTTGGACGACTAAAACAATAATTACGGAAATCGCATTAACTCGACACCGAAACCCGTATTATTCGAACAGACACGCCCTTCTTCTCCCGACAATTATGCCATTCGAAGATTAGCGGGATATTAATGAAGGATGAGCAGCGATCGTGTAATATAAGGGGGAACGGTGACGTGCATTCGCCAGCGGATTCCGTGACTCTCTCGGATGGATTACAATTCAATTAGCTTACGTAAGACGCGATGCACGGGTCGTGACATAACTCGGCGCGGTGTGCGTCGGCGCGTTATTAATTAATTTCTACGGCAATCTATCGCCGGACACGTCCACATTAACCGGCGTTTAACCGGCGAGACCGAGAAAAAGTGGCCTGATCACGTCCGCCCAGACGTGTACTTTCGTATTTAGACACGTTCTCCCGTGTACCTCCAGGATTTACTTCTAAGTTCACAGCAAGCGTCGAGAAAATATGAATCATTGCACAAACATCCTGAGTATCACCCAGGATTCGATGTTTTGTAAAAAGGGAAAAAAGATAGCCTTGCACTCATGGAAAAAACAAAATGTATAGCATTAGCTAACAGCAGTCTAATCGAAAATACTTTTGCTTATCTATAATAACAGTATTAATGCGTACATACTTATGCGTGGGTGTTTCCCATTTAGCGACACGCGCGCGCGCGCGAGTCAACATAAACATCATTCTATCTTTCTTGACATTTAAAGAATAATAAAAATAGAACAATATATATATATATATATACTTGACTTGTGTCACCAAATGGAAACTACTCTGTGTAATAATTGTGTTATATTCGTTTATTTCCTTCTTCCCCGCTTTCTTGTCTCACATAAAATATCTGGCAGGCATTATAACATAAAGTAGTCATACTAACGTCTCATCATTTTGCGTTTTTACGTTTCTATTTCCATATAAAACTGTACGCACTAAATTAAACTAAATTAATGAAGCAAATAATATCTCCAGGGTTTTTAGCAGAACAGAAAAAAATTTCCCAATTATTTTTCCATGTCATGAATTCTGTCAGGCATAATTTGCAATGTCTTCCTTTTTAATTCCTTTTTTCTCATCAAATAATCTCTTTCTATTTTCTTTCTCCATATCAAGTCTTTTCTGCTCCTTTAACAGAGCTCCTTTAATAGCGAAATAGGAAAAGAATTCCCGGACTTTTCCCGGTTATCTTTTAATTCCCCGACCTTTTCTCTGACTGATAACAATCCTGCGATTTTATTAAAAGAAAAGTACGAAGTATTTGTTTCATTACTAATATTATCGTTGAATTAAGATTATTTTGAATTAGATTGCTGTCGGCTAAAGCTGATAATATATTACATTTTTTTTCTATACGATAACGTCGAAGACCGTTCGATCCGCGTTTTATAGGATGAGAGCTTCGCGTGTGCGTGCGTACCGACGACCTTAAAGTTTCATCGAGATAGCGTATAGCTATGTAAAAGCTTCTAATCGATATCCCATCCTGCACGCCGAGGGTATAAATGAAATGGAAAAACATTCGCGTACCCATCTCTATGTCGGATACAGACAAACGGGAACGCTCCACTTCCTCTTTCCCCTGTTCTCTGCGGCATAGGCAGAGGAAGATATAGAGGGAAAGAGCATGCGATGCAGATCGATATACATCGGCCGTCTTACATCCATTTCTATCAATATACATAGATTGACCTTAGCCTCGGTTCAGCTAACTCTTGCTCGTTCCTATCAAGACAGATCAAGTTTAATCCAGTTGAACTTACTTTTTACGCTTTTCTTTTTGTTCTAAGAATTATAGAAAGAGTAAATTAAATCGAGATTAAAGTTAATTTACGCTTGCAGAAATAGATATCCATCTTTTTTTGTCCTCCCCCAATTCTAATATCGACAGAGATTAACTTTAATCTCGATTTATTTTTAAATCCTTTTAATTCTGAAACTAGGAAAAGATAAGGAAGTGTAACCAAAATTAAAGTGAACAAAAAAGACCTGGTTCCATCAACGTAACTTTAATCTCTGTTCAGTTTATTCTTCAATTTTTTTCAATTTTAAGAATTGGAAAAAGATAAACGGGAAGTTAAACTGAGATTAAAGTTAGTCTTACATTGATGGAACTCCGTTGCTTAAATTTATATTAATTAATAGATTAAAATTAATAATAGGTTGATCTATATTGACAGAAATGTGGATAGCAAAAAGCCAACGAAGCCGACGAATGTCTGTCCCATCTCTCCTCCAAAATCGCAAGCTGTACATACAAAACTGTATTAAAATTTAACTGGAAAAAGATAAAGACTAAGTTAAACCAAGATTAGAATAAATAAATAAATACTTTACATTAATTAACAGATTGCAGTTAATAATTTAAGTAATAAGGTAATCTATATTGACAGAAATGGATACTACAGAACCAAAGAAGCCGACGAACGTACGCACAAGCTACGTCTGTCCCGTCTACTCCAAAATCGCGAGCTGTATATCGTATTAAAATTTATAAGTACCGCGGTTCAGCGTTATACGCTGGCCTGTGATACATAAATAACTTTACGGCATGCATTTCTTCCGCGTGTACACCTCTCTCCGTTTGCTTTTTATATCTCTTCCCGCGATCTCGGAAAGGGTGTATTAATAGTGCGCAGAAACTATGAAAATTTTTGGCCATCATCGTCGTCGTCGTTGTTGTCTCGAGTCCACTTTGGTGAAATTACTCGTGTACACACATTGCTACGGAATGAGAATCGAAAAACCGCGTGATCATCCGGCCTCGAGAAGCCTAAACGGTGCAGATCGTCGCGGAAATCGAATGGCACGATGGGAAAGAATGGGCGATTCGTTGCGCGATTCCCTGAGGATATTACTTGATATTACTTAACGTTACTTTTTCATAAAGACAAAAAAAAATATATTTTTTATCTTTTTCTTTTTTTTCTAGAGATTCTCCGCTACAAAAGAAAAGTCTAAGTACCCATCAGTCTAATCTTATTTCAAGATCATCTTAAATAATGCCATAAATATGTATATGAAATTGATTTACGTCTTGAGATTGTATTTAAGAGATGATTTTAAATATAAGAATTATAAGAAACAACAAATACAAAAATTATAGCTGATTTATATACTAAAAAAAAAATTCTAGTTGAAAATGAACGAAGCAGAAAATTCTGATCGTATCAATCAGAATTCTGATTATCTCTCTTAATTAAAATTGTAATAAATTTAATCAGAAAATTCTGACTTATCTATTTTCAACTAGAATTCTAATTAACACAAGCAGATTTTTTTTCCAATTACTCAGTTTTATTTTAAGACTGTCTTAAGTAATGTCTTGAGATGCTAATACGATTCTGCGATTGGCTTATTTAAGACGATCTTAAAAATAAGAAGCGGCTATGAATAATGGTCTATGAATATCGGTTTTAAAAAGAATCTATACTGAGGTCGGTATTCATAGTCGGTTCTTATATTTAAGGCCATTTAATACAATTTAAAAATGTCATTATAAGTAAGAAAAACATGTCATTGATTTTGAAATGTCATAATTTTAAAATATCATAAATTTCAATCACAGAGCTATGTTAAAGCATAATAAGTAAATTTCAGTTATTTTTAATTATTTTTATAGGTCGCAACTACTTCTAATCAATATTAATTTAACTGAACCTAATAGATCTTACTAAAACAATTAAGTCAAATAATTTGAATAAAGAAATGTATTAAAAATGTATGAAACTCAAATTTAGTTTATTATTTACTAAGTGCATACGTTAATATCGACATTGTTTATTTATTTTGAAACTAAGTAAGTAATTCAACCACAGAAATAGATTAATTTTGACATACATAGAAGTTAAAAGTAATAAAATATCATTTAAATCAAGGGATTCAGTTATCATTGCTGCTTTGATATTTAACAATGAACTTAAGATGATCTTGTAATAAACACGAACTATGAATACCATTCAAGTGTACAGAAATGACCGATATAATAAGTGTATATAGAAATGCGAAAGTATCAATTTCCGAAACGGCTAATAATAAGTACTTATGCGTCACTGTATACTGAGAGAAAAGTGTTTGATATTTGTGACTATAAAATTGTATGATAAAATAATTAGAAACTCCATTTTTGTGGTAATTACTGTTATAATGTTCGTGATAATAATCACGAACATTATCATATATATAATCATATATATATAGTTGGCTGAAAAAAATTATAATAATAAGTTTCAAATAAGTAGTGAATAAAATAAACATTTTTATTCAGTATAAATGCAATCGTAATTAGTGAATATATATTTTTTTAATTCATTTATTATTGCTATGATAATATCTACAAAAAATTAAAACAAAACTGAAGATTTTCAAGTGCTCTGTGTGTACTATTATTAATCACACAATTCGCTATGCATGGTTAACAATTATAAATATACAGTTGTTCCAAAAAATGATTATAAATTATTATATATTTAAATTATAAATGACAAATTGTAAATTGTAATTATCGTAATTGCTATCATTATTTTTTCTCAGAATATAACGTCCACACAGATAATTTTATTTTTTAAATATGACACGTGGTGTTGTGTTGATGTAACCGTCTGAATCTTTACAATTTCCTCCTTCTCTTCTCTCTTACGCATGTAATTATGATAATTGATTACATAAATCCGGGAGATTCAGGTTCGAATCTGTGAGGCAATATTTTTCGCAGATTTATTATTCGTTTAAATATGGTTATTAATACTATCAGGTTGGTATTCACAATTCATTTTTATTATAAAACTGTCTTAATATCTTGTATCTGAGATTATACTGTCTCTCTTAAGTACAAAAGCTTAAATATAAGAATTGACTATGAATACTGGTCTTATAAAGATGCTTATTAGCATTAAAAATTACTTGTTAATTCAATAACTACTAGGTACTCCAATTTTTCTCATGAATACATCTCAAGACCGGGAAAAGATTTCGACAGTTTGCAGAAATGCATACGCTGTAAAAAATAAAATGTTAATTTCAACTTATAGTCGTATAGTGGACTTTCTGAGACTTGCAAAAATGTTAAAATTAACATTTTTGTGTTAATTTTAACATCTATGCATGTCTCAGGAAGTCCACTATACGACTATAAATGAAAATTAACATTGTATTTTTTACAGTGTATAAATTCACAAAAAAATATTGAAGCATTACAAGCAAAACAACAAGTCATAATAACAACAGAATGACATTAAAATAAATCGGAAATGATTGAAAAATGACTTTTAATAATCATTTTCGAGTCATTTTGTCATAATGACTTTCTGTTTGAATAAGATCTGTTTTGATTGAATAGGATTTCTCTTATTTAATTAGATTTATTCTCATCAGTGTCAAAATTCGTAATTGTGTAATTGTGCAGTAAAATTTAATCGATTCTTTCTCTTATCTCTGTTTTTTTTGTATACCTATTCCCCAGAAACTCACGTCATCGTTTTGACAGCGGGCATCCGTCTTCCTCCTTTTCGCCTTTTTTTTTATAAATAATTCGTTTCGCACTCGCGGGAAAGTGGTGAAGAGGACGGGGGGAAGTCTTTGCGCGCGCGTATCGATATCCACGAATATTTTTATCGAACGCGCCGTCAGCCGGGTAACCTAACCCTTCTTCGTTCCTCGGCGTTCTTCGGCCACGCGAAAAGGGGAGAAAAAAGGAAACATGGAAATAACGCGAGTCACATATACCGCACGAATCGTCTCGCAGCACACCGTTAAATTCACAATGTCGAATTACGCCCACAATTTGAATCATTTTCAATAATTTCTATAGGTCGCCACTATTATTCAATTCATTAATCGGAATTCGAATAACTGAAACAATGCAGTTAAATTATTAAATTTACCTCACGAAAATGTATAAAATCTGAACTGGAACTTAAGTTTATGTTATTTATTGAGTGCAACATTAATACGGGCGTTGTTATTTTGAAATCAACCACAGAAATGGATTGATTGACATTTTGACAGACATGGAAGCTGAAAGTAATAAAACGTTATTTAATTCAAAGGACTAAGGTACCATTGGCTCCTTTGACACACATTTAACAGTGTAGATATACACTTCTTTCTCCAACGGCTATGCGGAAAAAGTCAGTAAGGGAGAAAACAGGGGAGAAAAGTAAAGAAAGAGAAGTAAAAAAGGGTTTCGTTGATACTCACGATGAGAAACTCGACGTCGACAAGGAACGGAGAGTTCTTCTCGCGACCTGGCGGAAGAGACACGCGGAAAAAAAGATTCGCGAAGAGTCCGGGCCGTCCGGTTATCGCGGCTCACCATCCGTGACCGTGACACCTAGCAACCGCTCGCGTTATTTCGCTCATGTCCCCCGGACGTGCGAATCCCCCCCCCCCAGGAGGGGGGAAGGAAGAGCGACAGAGAAGAAGAAAACGAAAAAAAAAAAAAAATCGAAAGGAAAGGAGGAGAAACCTGCTGCCGGACGAATAACGCGAGCGTACGTGCCGATCACACGGAGACCACGGAGTGACTCGCGGGACGCGGATCAAAGCGGCGAGACTGGCCTCTCTCAGCGAGAAGGGGATGGGAGACGCGCGGGGGACGCGCAGGCCGTCCCGACGGTGGTGCCGACGCGGTGACGTCACCCCCGGGAACGTAGTATGTACACATACGCGCTGCTCCGTTCCGAATTCCAACGGGGTCGGTAAAGCGCGGTGAGACGCGATCGATTCTTTCCGAAATGCGCGCCGCCTCCCCCGTCCCGCCGTTTTGCTCGCTCGAGTGCGAATATGTATGTACATAATATATGTGTATGTATGTAGCGAAGAGATTTAAAGCGAGATTTAAAGCCTCACTGATGTCACGCACACACGTCTCACGTTTGATGAATTTACCTTTCGTCGACAGCCTCTGGCACGATCCACACTCCAATGTTCGTTGTGCCGGGAGATTATCGGCACTGGTACGCCAACAATGCGCTCGCGGACAAAATGGCGATACGTGGTGGCCGATTTCCGTGTTGACAGTCATCGGCATTCCTTCGCGTGTACGACAGCGACGACGACGACGGGCGGCGGCGACGATGGTAGGCGGCCAAAGGACAGCGATGTAACGGTGGCGGTAGCGGCGCGGCGAACCGCGTTTTGCGCTAGCGCAAAAGAAAATTCGCCGAGCGAACGTATAGGGTGCATTTAGAACGACACCCCGCTCAGGCTGCGGGCGCGTTCACACATTAAGTGCAGAAGCACGATCGCTCACTGAGCGCTCAGTGAGCTTTTGTACCTGTTTGGTCTATATTTTTAGTTCTAACGGAATATGCCAATCAGATGCACCTCTTGATGGAAAAGCGGAAAGCAGAAAAGCAACAGCCAATCAGAATTGTAGCTGGATTCACACTGGATTCGGATTTGCGTCGTACGACGCTCTGCAACCAATCAGAAAACAGGATTTTGCTTCGTATCAGTGGCCTACTCATATTCATAGTCTTTCCTTATTTTAAAGATAGAGGAAGCCTCCATGAAAGATTCCTCGATTCTCCAAGGCTTTCTTGTTTCATAAATGGATCTCAAGTCTACCTTCCCGATGGAAGGAATATTTTAGGGATTTTAATAATCTACTGAAGGCAGTATGTATCATAATATTATATATTATATATGCAAATCTAATATTATGAATTACGAATAATAATGGTTATAGAGGCATTGTTAATTAAATAAAGTTGTGATTAAGCACATTTTGCAACAATAATGGACAAAAATAAAACTAATAGCGAATTTGATTGGACGCACTCACTGCACACTGATGCACATTAAAACTGTCGTACATACACAAAATAACGTAAATATATTTTTAAATAAACATGGAAATTGATTAAATTGTAAAATACTCAATATATTTTATTGTATTGTTAGATAAAATATATATTTCATAATTCGAAATATTTGTATTTTATTTTTATACTCAAATTAAATCAGTAACGGCTCTAATATGCATCAGTCCAATCGAATTTGTCATAATGCTTATTATACGAAGAAGGAAAAAATACTTTTGACGCAGTTTATTTTCGAAAAAAAAAAACTATTGGAAATAATTATCGATTCGACAGATCTAAATTAAAAACTATAAAAAAAATAAAAAGAAAATAAAAAGACCGGTATGAACTCAATTTGGTGATTTGATTGGTTATGAAGGCTGCATTTTCTCCTCAAGAAAACTCGTAACTTTCTTTGAGAAAAGGAAGCTAATAAGGCTTCTTGTTTGGTCAAGGAAGATTTATGAAATGTGAAATAAGAAACAAGGAATCCTCATTTCTCAAGAAAGGACTATGAATCCCGGTACTAGTTTTCGTCGAGGGTTTAATGTAAGAACCGAATCAGAATGTAAGAACCAACTACAGTCGAGCATTCTTCTGTCGTTTGATTGTAACTGTAAATTCTTAAACATTGTCTCCTAAAGATTCTTCCAGATTTTTATGCCTACTATCAGAGAGAAACTGAGAGAAACTTGAGAGATCTAAAAGAGGACATGACGCCTGGCGGCCCAAAACCTGTAAAAGGTTCTCTACATAGAAGTCGTAGACGGTCGTGGAGTCTCAAGTTGGAAACCAATCAATCACAATCAAATATAAGGAGAATATTCGAATTGGTCAGTTTCCTACGAATTATGACTTTGGCACACAGCGCGATACGCGATATCCAATGAGAGTATACCTTTAGAATGAAAATATTAATAAAGCTGTACTCATTGGATATCGCGTGCCACGCGCGACGAACATTGCGTGGGGTATCAATCATGAAACTTTATCCCTAGGATGGAAAGTGAAAATTTTTACTATTAAAATTAATGGAGAAATTTTTTATTTTTCACTTTTTATCCTAGGGGTAAAGTTTTCATAATTGATATTTTGGGGCCCTATTCTTGAATAAATATTGCATACAAAAACAGCAATTCCGTATACAATCGACCATTCACAGTTAAGAAATCATTTTCGTATGCAAAGTTTATTTGTATGTGCTCAAGAATAAAAACCCTGGTGTGCCGGAGTCATTAAAGTCACTAGATGAACAAAGTATTGTGAACTGCTGCCATTTTGGCTCCATGACGTGAGTTATTCAAAACTTTAGCCTTTTTCGCTGCAGTTTTTGCAATTTTCAATACAACAATTGGACATTTTTGATAATAATAAAATTAAGTTCTTTTTTTTCTTCTTCTAGACCCTTGTATGGATTTCCGACCTTTTAACAGAATGAGGTTAGCACTTTGATGCCATTTTGGCTCCAACTAATTTAGTGAATTTTCTCATCGTGATACTTTTGTTAATTTAGTGACTTTAGAAAACAACCGCTAAATGCTGCCGCGCATTATTGCTCCTTGACAAAGTGTATGGAAATTACGTAACAAGATCCTTTTTTTGAGAGTACATATGTCCACTTTTTAAAGCTGCAGATGATAAATCGATATTTGGTTTGTACTCCGATGAGATATTATTAAAGACCAATATCTTTACGGGAGTTTGCGTTCTTGTGAATATTGAAGTAATTAAGAATTAAAAACTGATAATATTGTACTAATTTTATGATTTATTAGTTTAGTAGACGTATTTATGCATTTAGAACTTAATAATACTCGATTTTTCTTTTAAATTTCAGCGTTATCGTCAAAGTTTGATTATCAACAGAGATGATAACTGCTGAGAAAAAAATTGTAATTTTTCTGCAATATATAGGATATTACAGCTTTACAAGTATGCATATTTATTTATGGAACATTTATGTAATAAAAAAATCATGAATTTAATAACCTATAAAATTTTTATATAAAATATTTATTAATTATAACAAATTTATATCAATTGTCGATAATGTCAGTATTCTTTAATTATCTCCGAGCCTTTGGAGCTCTTTTCATACTGCCGAAAAAATTTGCTCAGGGTTGACGGTCTTTAATATTTAGTATTAATCTCGTCGGTGGTTCGTATAATCGGGCTACATTCACAAACTGTGGATCAGAAATATTCGTCTCTGCAATTTTGCATGCCTCGTGATGTTTATTTCGCTTAAAAGTATTAACATTAAAGTTATATTACATCCTTTTTTTTACATATGTGCTAATATTTATATTTCAAATAATAATAAACTACTCAGCAAACGAGAATATATTGAAATGGATTAAAATGTGTTCAGATTTTCTAAAATACGGATTTATGAATGTTCAAATGAATCCTTTTCAATCCTGAATTTTTATTTATTCATTTTTATTTATTCAATGTTCATTTTTTAGATCTTTGATAAAGTCGGTAATTTGTTAAGATAGAACATTAATCGACCTACGGTCGATAAAAATGTCTGATGACTTATCTAACTATTGTAATTACAAATTCCTTTATTAACATCTGAGGCACTATTCTGTAACTGTCTTTGCACGCTTATCGACAGTTGTCGGTGTCGTTGCGCAGATATTTTATATGGTGAAAAAGCTGCGCAACAACACCGACGACTATCGGTAAGCGTGTAAAACAGTTACAGAACAGCATCTCTGCATTGATATCACATTGTACGAACGACATCTATTTTTCGGGAATGTATCGCGATCATCGTATGACTTGTCAAGAGTGCGAATGTCAACGAAAACAAAAATGTGCCGTAGTAATGCGACGTTTATCGTGCTGTCGTTATTTTTGATATTCTTCTGCGACACGACGTCATCAGAATGCGTACAGGAGGCACCTTGCACTTGCTCGTTGCCGGACGGCTATTATTACAATTTGTCCGCCCTCGACGCAAAGTTGGTAGATTAATTATTAACCTCCGTCCAGTTTCCGGCTTCTCTTTATTTTTACGTCTTACAATATGTTCATTATCTTATAATTCCTATAGAAAAAGAAAAAAAATATTAGTATTAATTATTCATCCCTTTGCATGGAAAAATTTTTGAAGTAATTGATTAAATAACAATGAATAAAATGTTTTAATCCTATTAGTCTTTGTGCCATTTTAGAATTTTAGTTATTTATTTAATTTTTTTTTTATTTTTATAGATAGAACATATTTGATATTTTTATATCTCTGTTATTTAATAGCTAGTTTTTCATTGGGAAAATTATAGTGCAACACCGCAATTAAGCACAAGTCAGTTTACTTATTTTTAGTGTGAATAATTTAATTCTTTTAACATTGTGAGATTTTCATGACAACAAAGAAAAAAAATGTAATTAAAAGAATATGTAATTAAATTATTTATGAATACTAAAAATATATAAATTGATTTGTATTCAATTGCACTCAGTGTTGCATTAGTTTTCTCAGAGAAAAACACTATAAAGATTTAAACATGTATTGTATACTTAATATTTTCTGTGTTTGTTTAAAGTATATGTAATATTTATAAAACAGTGCAGTATATAGAATATTAATTGATCAATTAATTAATTTTTAGGTCATTTTCAGCTAAAAGTGATAATTATACAGTCTATTTTCATCCATGCACAAATGTAAATATGACGATAGAGAACAAGGCAAA